AAAGGAAAAGGATCAAGTAATTTTAGATAAGTAAATTTTTCTACATTTAGAAGTAAAAATTCATAAAACTGTGTTTCCTTTAGCCCTCAAAGTTTGTAACTGTTATTGAATATTTGGTATGATTTAACTAAATAATGAATAGCTTTGCTGTTCATTAAAAATGAGTGGTTATGAAAAGGCAGTAAAGACAATAATGTATAGTTTTATAATTGGCTACTATTTACAGGCAGTGGAAAGGCACCCTTAAGTATTTATGTTAGTTGCTACCACTTTCTCTTTACAACTTTAGAACTCCCTTAAAGTAGATATAAACAAATTAATAAAAATTTAAGACTGCAATGTTTCTGTAATTTTTTTTATTTCTTTTTTCGAGACAAAGTCTTGCTCTGTTGCCCTGGCTAGAGTGCAGTGGCATCATCACAGCTCACTGCAACTCAAACTCCTGGCCTCAAGTGATCCTCCTGCCTCAGTCTCCCAAGTAGTTGAGACTACAGGCACATGCCACCACACCTGGCTAATATTTCTATTTTTTGTAGAGACGGGGTCTCCCTCTTGCAAAGGCTGGTCTTGAACTCCCTATCTCAAGGGATCCTCCTGCTTTGGCCTCCCCAAGAGCTAGGATTATAGGTGTGAGCCCCCATCCCAGCCTGTTTCTGTAATTCTTAGTATGACAGGTGGACAGTATATTGCTTATTTTCAAAATGAGGTTCTTATAGAAACATTCAGTAATATGAGTTGGCTTATTAAATAAAACAATAAAAGGAAACGAAAAAGCATTTCCATTTCATATTTTCAAGCTAATCTTACGGTTGTCTTTGGGTTTTGCTACTGCACTGATTCGACAGACAGTAACTAATAAATCCAACATCCTTAGTAAATGTGACAGTAATTTCTCATTTGAAGAGTTGTGCTATATTTTGTTTTTAAATGCATTTTCTTTTCAAACTTGAGCTTCGAAATTTTGACAGCTGTATCATTTTTTAACCTTTGCTTGCTTTTCCATTTTGAGAGTGAATGTTGTACATGATGCAGTGTGTTTGCTCAGTAGAAATGCAAACAAAATGTTCAGTCGAATGATCTCTATGCATGTGTCTAGGATGGAGTCAAAGGTGTGGTTTCCTTTCAGAGAAATGAAGTTCACTTCTCCTGCCCAAGACCACTGTTTCCCATGACTACCCTCCAAACATAAGGAGAAATTTATTAAAGAAAGAAGATGCATTGATTATAAAGCAATAAGAGTAGTGGATAATTCTACAAATATTAGAAAGAAAAGGGCTAGAATTCAATTCAAAAAAATGCTACTGTTCTGTTTTCATCTTGATCCTCAACTTTTTAAAACTTTATATGACTTTTTGAAGTTATTGTTAACACCCAACTGCCAGAATATTTTCTCCTAAAGATCAGCTGTATAAGTTAAAGATAACTGTTTAAAGTAAATGTTCTTACACTAAAACTAATTTTCTGTAATGTTTGTATAATTTATCAACAGAAAGTATAAGATTAATATTATTACAATAGCAATAGTAGTCATTTACTGAGTATCTATTTTTTTTTTTTTGAGACAGAGTCTCGCTTTGTTGTCCAGGCTAGAGTGAGTGCCATGGCATCAGCCTAGCTCACAGCAACCTCAAACTCCTGGCTCGAGCGATCTTCTGCCTCAGCCTCCGAGTAGCGGGACTACGGCATGGCCACCATGCCCGGCTAATTTTTTTTTATATATATATCAGTTGCAATTAATTTCTTTCTATTTATAGTAGAAGACGGGGCGTCTCGCTCTTGCTCAGGCTGGTTTTGAACTCCTGACCTGAGCAATCCCCCGCCTCGGCCTCCCAGACAGCTAGGATTACAGGCATGAGCCACCGCGCGGGCCACTGAGTATCTATATTCATGGCCATTGTAAGCACTGTGTTGTATTATACCATTTTTCATACCACCCATGAGGTAGGCGAGAACTAAGCAGGGATGGGTTAAATATTTGCACGAAATCTCAGAGTTGTAGGTGGCAGAGCCAGTATTTGAAACTTGGCCATATGCCTTATGCTTTGCTTTCCTAGCCTGCTGTCCCAGCAGTTTAGAGTTTGTGGTCCATTGATGACCACTTCTTAATTCCATCCATTATTGTATCGCATACAGTGGATTAGGACAAAGTTCTGGTTCAACATTTTAATTGAAAAATCAGTGCATTTTACATTGCCTGAGTAATGTAAAACATAAAGGTTGGGGGTAGTTAATGCATTTGAGCTTAGTTAGTTTGTGACCAGGAAGTGTCTTTTTGAATGTTAAGAAATAATCATTTTTTCAAAGGCAAATTTAGAGCAATCTCTATTGCAATTTAATATTGAATATAAAATTACTCAAAAAGAAGTTAATGCATTTAGAAAAAAGAATATTTGTGCCCCCTTTTTTCAAATGTTCACATTTTAGGAACTCTTAATAAATTTTCAGTTGTCTGTAGTATAGTAATACGCTGTTGGGGTTTTGGAATTAGTAATAATTACTACATATATTAAATAATGTACATATTAAATCATTTGTTTGGCGGGGTCCTCAAAATTTTTAAACAGGGCCAGTTCACTGTCCTTCAGACCGTGGGAGGCCGACTGTAGTTTAAAAAAAACTATGAACAAATTCCTATGCACACTGCACATACCTATTTTGAAGTAAAAAAACAGACAGGCAAAAACACCCGCATATGGCCCACGGGCCGTAGTTTGAGGACACCTGGTTTTGGCTGTGTCTCAGTCATCTTGGCACAGTGAGGAGCAGCTGGGTTGGTGGAGCTCCAATGTGTTGTTAAGCCTTAAGAATCCATCAGGGTTCTGCCCTATCTTATATTTAAAAAGGATTTCAGCTGATCACAGGAAGGCAAGGCAGGACTGACAGGGAGGATTGGGATATAGGCTTGAAAGCCACTAGTTAAAGCAGCAGAACGGCTAGCTCCTCTGCCTAAATAGCAGGGTGTCCTTGGGCAAGTCACTTAACTTTTCTGAGCCCAGTTTTTCATGTCTAAAATAGGGACAATAAAGCTTATCTCTTCCATCTTCAGAATTGAATAGAGCAAACAAAATGAAGTATGTGAGACTACCTTCGAAACTGAAATGCATATAAATGTAATGAATGCTATGCCATTGCTTTTAGCTGGTAACAATGTTAAATTAATTTTTGTTGGTTCCATTGCAGAGTTCAAATGCAGGGTATTAAAGAACACTTTAAGAAATTCAGTCTCTTGATACTAGTTTCAGATGAAAAAATACAAAATGTTCAGGAAACTCATTCCTTTTAGAATTCAAGGAAGAGTTTCTACCACAGATTTCTATTATTAGATCAGTAGAAGGTACTGAGATGAGTTCAGCTATAGGTTTGTAGTAACTGTTGCCAGCTGACTTTGCCCTCTCATTGGAAGCAGACACATAAAGGGCTGAACCCTGAGAATAATACACAATTATATCGAAGTTTTAACATCTTTGTAAGGTATGTAAAGTTGTGCTCAACCCTTTTGGTGTTTATTTTCTATGTTAAATACTTTCAGGAGGTTCTGATAATGACGATGATGAGGAGAGGAAGAAGAGGAAGAGAATACAGATTACCTTACGGATTCCAACAAGGAGAAGGAAACTGATGAAGAGAATACCGTACGTAGCTGAAAAATTTACTTCTTGAAATTACGCAATATTTTTATAGTATTGAATTTTAGCCACTGAAGTTTAATTCTTTTGATTATTTGAAAAATATTTCTTTGGAAAGTCATTTTCAGTTTGTTTTCCTAACCATTTCTTCATTACAAGTTATTTTAACACTTTTAATATTATATGTTTTACTCCACTTATTCATTGAGTTATGTCAAACAAGTTACCAATACAAAAAGCTTTGCCCATACAAAACATTTAAAATTTCTGTCTGATTTGTTTTTTGTTCTGTTTAATAAGGAGGAAGATTAAAGGTGGCGGACTTAAGCACATACCTTGTGTAGAAGATGAGGACTTCATTCA